AAAAAAAAAAAAAAAAAAAAAAAAAAAAAAAAAAAAAAAAAAAAAAGGAAAACATAATCACTTTTAGAATTAGATAGATTCCTGGGCAGCAATGGTTCTCCAAAGCCACAAAGGATTACACTCGGCTATCCCTGAAAGGAAAGGCATAGGCATAGTTTTTAGGTGAGGCACGCCGTTTTAGTGCTAATCATTTAGGGAAATGTCAAAAGTCACTTAAAAGGATCATGGCTAGAGATACAAATGGAAGCTATGGAGACATTATGCCAAGAGTAGCAACCCTATGAATCTATGCTTCAAGATAGATTCATAAGGTGTATGAGGGTGACTAGGTGGGAACGAAACAGAATAAGGTAGAAAAGACCAAGATACTGGTTTGTTGATTTATTTAGTGATTCACTTAGGGCACTTCTTGGTACTGCTCATTTCCTGTGCTACCCGGAACAGACTGGCAGAGAAAAACAGCTAAAACAATGAGCCGTTGCCCTTCATGACCTGCTGACTACCCTTCTGTAAAATCTTGCCTGCTTGCCTACCCTGCCTTGTGGTTCTAGAGTATAAAATAAGAATGCAAACTGGACCAGGGACCAAGGCCTTTCAGGAGTGGTACTGGCTTCAGCCCACCAGTGATGTATCTTTTCCACTCTCCTTGGTGCTAGAGTGCTTGCTCAGAAAGAGTCCCACAACAGCTCGACCCCATAGGTGTGAATAATGTGCCCAACATCTTTCGAAGCAGGACTTGGCTAGATTAGCATCAGCGTAATCAGGAAACATCAGCTATGAACCTCGCTCTAAGGTTTTGATTTGTAGCTAGAAAAAAAAAAGTAAATATTGAGTTGAATAACGTAACATCATTTGCAAAGTAAGCCAACTCACCGATAAAGCATGTTACCTACTTCTTCTTAATGAAACTCCCATGTCCTCTTGCGATGAGGCAAAGACTGGGTCACACTTGGTAGAGCTTAAACATTCCTGCCAGCAACACCTCCTCTGTTGCCACACATCCTGTCATTCGAAAGCAGCAGAGCAGAGTTCTTAGGGACTCTCAGGCTGCTGTGGTCAATATTAAATAGAAAGCGTTACTACACGGCCTACGGTTTAGAGGGGGCTGGGGACTGGAAAATTGCAAAACTCTTAAGCAAAGGGTTGTGTTTGAGTTGCAGTGGTCGCCCTAAGAAGCAACGTTTGAGTGAATTCTCTTATTTCCTCTTCTGTGGGGATATCTGTGTCCTAGTCTGAAGGGGAATCTGCCATTCAAACAGGAAAAGTAACTGGTTGGGCCCAGGAACTTCCTCATACTGGTTCTTCACAGTGATGTGAGGGTTGAGGCAGTGCATAGCTTTCATTAGGAAGCCGAGAAAGTTTGCTCACTACCCAGAACTTAATTTCTGTGTCAATGTGGGCTCTTCTTTAAATTAAGCTTTTACAGGTAACTGTTAAGTCCAAATAGAAATCGTAAGAAACAGTACAGAAACATCTCATATCCTGTGCCTACATTCCTCCCGTGTTAGCCTCTCCCAGAATTACAGTGCAGTACAAAGCATCACCTCTCCAGCTTCCTCCATATTGCCCTTTTGGAAGTATACTCACCTTCCCCACTGCCACCCCGCATTCTCTCTGCATTCATCTGGAGAGGGTCGCGTGTATGTATGGACCAGAGAACAACCCTGAGTGTCGTTCCCCAGATGTCATCTCCTTACTGCAAGACAGGGTCACTCAGTGTCCTGGAACTAGGCTTGCTGTCCAGCAAACACCAGAGATCTGCTGGTCTCCATGTCTCCAAATGCTGGAATTGTGAGCATCTAACACTAGTCTTGGTTTTTCTCACATGGTTTCTGGCCCTTGAATTCAGGTCTTGGAAATGGAAGCCAATCACTTTAGCAACTGAACCATCTTCCAAGCCTAAACATTGACTCTAATTTTTAATTTTAAGAAGATGGGTATTCTATAAATATGAATATAACCTATTTTCCTTCCTCTTCCTTCTTCTCCCCCTGATCCCTGCTGTATTAGGTATTAGACCTAGGGCCTCATATATGCTAAGCAAGTGGAATGACTGTAATGTCTAAGATTAGAAACCAAATGTTTAACCATAAGGAAAACCCCAGAACTAGACACAGTGAAGACTTCGATGTTGATAAACCTTCGCTGAGTGGAACTTATCCTCACATGGCAACATCCTGCTCGGTTGGGTTTTTGTGTTCAGGCTTTGTACCCACCCGTGTGTCAGAACTGGCAAACAGCAACCACATTTCAACTGACTCATCATCCCAGTGATCATCCTAAGTGCTGAGAAAGAGAAAAGGGGACTGCTACCCTCCTGTTCGGGAAACACAGTTAGAAAATTTGACAGGTGTAATAAATATGAGAAGATTTCTTTTTCTTAGGCATGCACTTCCAGAGTGCCTAGTAAAGATAAAAGATGTGTGATTCATAGCTATGAGAGTGAATTTCCCGGCTCCACCAGGTGTGTTACTTCACATGATTTTACAGATCACAATTTCACACCCATGCTTACCCAGTGGTAAATATTTGACCAGATATTTTCCTGTTAGGAGACAAATGGGGTGCCTTCACAGACCCAAGAGAGCCTAACAGGCTTTTTTTTCCAGGGTCCTTGTGCTGTGGTCTGTGTCCCTTCCCACAGGCTTCTTAGACCATGAAAGCCATTCTTCCCACTGAGGGGAGAGGTCTTTGTAACTTCCTGTGTGCCTGGGTGGGAGTCTGTAAGGACACTGGAATAGAACTGAGGTGACAGTGGCACCGCTGGGGGAGGTTGTGGGGCCTTTGGGATGTGTGATCTAGCTGGAAGATGCAGGTCATACCGGGCAAGGATGTGCCCTGTCTCCTGTCCCGTCACCACTTCTCATCAGTGCCT